GTGCACTAGCCGGCTTTTAAAAATGGCGGCGCCGGCTTTATGCTAATGAAGCCCGGGAAATTCAAATCCCGGGCTTCATTAGCAAGTTCGGTATGCATACATTACCCCCCTAGTTCGAATTAGGGGGGTAGTGTAGACATACCCTGAGTGACATAGTAGGGAACTATTCAGCAGCCCTTTGTGGCGCACTCTTCCTGCGAAACCCCACCCTGTGCCAAAGCGGCTTCCTCGCACGGGATGAAGGATTGCGTTCTCCTTAGAAGCCCCGAGCCACGACCGAGCAATTCTTCCTCCACACCTCCTTCCGGCATGTGCGCCTGGGTGTCCTGCCTCGACCCTGTGATGCCCTCTGTAGCACGCCTGGCCTGGCACTTCCGAACACTCAACTGTTCCATCCTGTCAAATCTCCACAGGAACCAGTTTTCTTAAAACAGGCTTGAGCTGTTCTTCGGTAAATGCCCAGTGGATGGTGGAAGAGAGGGGCCAGTCATGGAATAAGAACTAGAGCAGTTAACCCTAGTGGTGATTGATGATGCAGAAGCTGTTCTGTTCATTCTTTGAAACCTAGCAGCGCTCAGGAAGCACTGCAGTAGCCACCAGGACCGGCTTGTCAATAACATCCTCTGGCTCATCTGTCAGCAGGGATAGAAACCAAGCCAAGAAGCCTGCTTCCAAATCTGCCTTTGTAGTCCGGCCCCTGAGTGGAGCAGGGCTGTGGCACAGCCAGGGCTGTTTCACTTTTTAACGTGCTCGCTTTCCAACAGCAAACACCAAGGCAGGAGGGGAGAGAGGGGAGCTTGAGGCTGTTTGTGCTGCGATTGCCATGTGAGGAAAGCAAGTGGAAAACCTCCGACATGGTAACGCAACAGCATTTGCAAATTAGAATGAACCTGGTGGAGGTTTGATTGGCTGGCCCACTGCCTTTGAAGCAAACATGTCACCCCTTTCCCATAGGAATGAAATGGGTGCCTTGTCCTCATGGTTTATATTGAGCGGAACAAAAATGTTACACTTGGCTTTAGACCTTGGATGGCAAGTTTCAGCCTGGGGTGATATTACACACCCAGAGTCAGTTCCTCAGTTAGTGTTGATTAGCATCAGGTCCGCTGAGCACAGTGAAACGTTGCCAGTTTACTTCAGAGGGGGCGGTAAAGTGGGTAACCAAACCCAAGCCCTGGGAAATCAGACGTCATTTTGGAATTGGGCAAACACTGATGAGTTTGCAATATAGTGGAAAGAGCAGATCACATTGTAATTGTAATTTGCCCACAGGAGGGGTAACATACTCAGGAAATCAGCAGGTCTTAGAGTTCCCCGTGTGTATGGGGCTAAAAGTGGTTGTGAACCCTCTTTGACCTCCGTCCTCTATCATTTTAAAACTTGAGTCCAGGCCCCCGCCCATTAATCTGCAAGGCCCCATCCTTCTGAGGAATAGGTTGCCATGAGGGAGACTGGCCTGGTGGGATGGGGACAGGTAAGCCCCCCTTGGGCTGTTGTGTCTCCTAGGCCAGATTGTGAATATGCTTAGTTTGTAGATGGCCATGGGCTGTAAATAGAGACCCCGGACTAGCTGAGCACAACAGTCCCTTCTAGCTTGGAACCTGTGGAAGTCAGTGGAGTGACACTGAATTGCACCAACTGAGGGTCAGGATAAATTGAGGGCACAGAGCACCTCACAGAATTGAGCCCAAATCAACAAGCCCCGGGGTGGGGCGAAATCGCTCTTTCTGACAGTGGCCTTGACAGAACTCTATGGACTTTCCTCACTTTGCGCCAGTTTACATTTTGGAATGTCAGTCTATAATTAGCAGACCTTATCAGACTATTTTTGTGCGATCCTCGGTTCACCTGAGTAATTCATTAGACACGGACCACGTGTGGGTATTTAAATTTGCGGCAATGCAGTTCCTGATAGAGGCTGGTAAAGCACCCTTCTTCGTGGAAAAATCAGAATGTCAGACATACAGGCAGAACTTTTGCAGGCTAGTAAGTGTAAGTATTGCTGTTAATAAAGGGTTACGGGTAGCCAGGCAGGAAAAGAGGAAACACGCATGCAATAAATTCTACACCTCGTGCCTAAAGGAAGTTAGTCACTTTCACATACTCTCAAAAGGCTGCTGGTTAGTAAAGCGTGTTCACAATGAATCTATAATCAGAGCAGTGGAGAATGCCCGCTTGAATGGAGCTGGCTTCGTTGCTTGCTTACACCAGCTGTATTTGTGTTTACAGGAAGCAAATACAGGACTTCCACATTATCAGAAAAGGAAAGCTTTCCGGGGTTAAAAGGCTGTGTGAGATTATACCACATTATAGATCATGGGTTCCCAAACTGGGGGGTGTGAAGAAATTCCATGGGGGGCACGAGGCGACCCAGCCCTCCTCCCCCCCCTCCCTCCCCCCGCCCCATCAAGTTTTGCTGCCCTGGTCAGTTCCTTTTTTTTTTTTTTGCGCTCAACAAGTTTTGCTATTTTTGGGGGGCGGCATGAGGGTTTTTCAAAATCAAAAAGGGGACGTGATGCCAAAATGTTTTGGAACCACTGTTCTAGATAAAGCTACTTTGTTATCCCTTTGGCCTAATTTTATCTTTTGTCTGTCTGTGTTAACAATTAAGTAGAGTGTTTGATTTCTGTATGGAGGAGGATTTATGCTTCCTTTAAAAACAGGTGTTCTCTTCTGAATGGATATTCTTAATTCCTTTTGTTGGTTTGCTCAGTCAGTTTCAGTTGTTTGTTTTTACATGTCCCTGACGTCTGAGAGACAAAGGTGGCCCTTTCATTTAGCTCTTAAGCCAGGTCTCCACTTACAAGTTAGGTCAACAAAGCTATGTTGTGCTCTGGGGCTTGAGAAATTCACACCCTGAGTGCCACAGCGAAGCTGACCTATGCTTCCATGGGGCCACAGCTCTGTAGACTGAAGAATTCTTCCTTGGACCTACGTACTGCCACGTGGGAAGGTGGATGTCACGTATTGACAGAAACATCCCTTATTTCCTACAGTGGTGGATCTGCACTCTGGCGTGTAGATGGGGTGGACGCTCTGCAGGGCCGTGCCACTGTTGCGCCCCTAGTGTAGACGTGGCCATGGTCTCTGTAGCAGTAGCATTACTGAAGGGAGCACAGCAGGGGGAATTTGCACAGTGGTTTGGGTATGGCAGTTCTGGGGTGTTGTATTGAAAGCCATTTATGGCATGAGCTTGATGTCATGGAGGTTATTTGCTTGGTAGCAGAAGGGTGGATTTAAACATTAGAGGAGGGGTGAGAATTTGGGGGTGTTCGCTGCCTGGGTTTTGGGCTTTTAGCTCCTCTCCCCCTGACTTTTGGAAGCAATGTGATGGAGAAAATTCCACCCAGTTGCTACTGTAGGTCAGGGTGCAGTATGCAGATGAAGGAAATGCCCCGCTGTCTTTACAGCTACATTTGAAAAGCAGTTGAGAGACATGCAGATTTCCTCGAGCAATACCGATACAGAATAGAACCCGGATTAACTCTTTCTGCTCCCTCCCCCATTCCCGCTCTCTGTTCATAATGTGTGTCTTAGATCGAGTGCAGCTAGAAGGGAGTGGAGGCGGGGGAACTCGCAATGTGTTTGGGCAGACAAATCCAAATACAAGCTGACAATTCTAGCCAAAGGGCCTCCTTTCAGATCTGTTACTGTGGGGAGGCAGCAGGCTGAAAAGAAGTAACAAGTCTTTGATGGGTCTTTTCTCCCTTGAACATCACTTTAAAGCAGGGGCGGGAACCCGGGGCCTCTGACTCGCAGAAAATCAGTTGGGGATCACTCACAGGTGAGCAGCAAAAAGCCCCACATACCCTTACTTGACATGGCCCCCCGGCTGAGGAGAAAGACACTTCCCACATTCCCCTCCCACACCAGCGCCTAAGGGGACCCAGCCGTGTAGATTTCATGTGCTCCAGCCCTGCGGTGGAGCATGGGGGGGCTGGCGCACCAGTACAGACTTCCTAATGCTGGAGGGAGCTCTGAGCTTTGGGGGCCAGATTCAGGCAAGCCGGGGGCCGCATCCAGTCCCTGGGCCTGAGGTTCCCCACCCCTGCGTTATTTGCCCCTGAACTGATTTGCTTCCTGCCCTTGCTGGGCAATGGGTGATAATCAGCCCATTACACACTCCTCTTTGCTGGGGAGAAGTGTTTAACGTTGAGACACATAGGGTCTCCATGGGCCTCCCTTTCTGTATTAAAAGAAGAGTGGCCACAATCGAGCTCACTTTGTCTTAA